GACGCCGCGGCCGCCCGGGCGCCCGGGACGCCCGGGCCCCAGCCGCCCAGACGCCGCGGGCCGCCCGGGCGCCCGGACGCCCAGAGCGCCCAGCGCCCGGCGCTCGAACGCCGGGCGGGCAGACGCCGGGGCGCCAGCCGCCCGGACGCCGCGGCCGCCCGGGCGCCCCGGACGCCCGGACGCGCGGCCGCCGGCGCCCCGGACGGCCCGGCCCGCGCGCCAGCCCGCCCAGCCGCCCGGACGCCCGGGCCACCCGGGCCGCCCGGACGCCCAGAGCGGTTCGGCGCCCGAACCCGGGGGGCCCCCGGGCCGCCCGGGCCGCGGGGCGCCCAGAGCGCCCGGCGCCCGAACGCCCGGGCGGCGGTCCGGGCGCCCGGGCCCGGACGCACGGAACGCCCGGCGCCCGGTGCTCGGGCGCCCCGGACGCCTGGGCGCCGGGATGCCCGGCGGCGCCCAGCCGCCCAGCCGCCCGGACGCCCGGGCCGCCCGGGCCGCCCGGACGCCCAGAGCGCCCGGCGCCCGAACGCCCAGGCGGCCCGGACGCCCGGGCGCCCAGCCGCCCGGACGCCCGGGCCGCCCGGGCGCCCGGACAGCGTCAGGCGGAATTGTGGTATTGTGGGAGGCACTGGGAGCATTGCTGCCCCATCACCGTGTCAACCCACTGATGCCACCCTTGCGTGCGGGTGCTGCGTACCTTCTTGAAACCTGTGGTCGCCCTCTTCCAGCGCTCCTTATCCTTGGGATAAAGCGGCAGGATGTGCGCTACGAGCTTGGTGAGGTCAGACACTCGCTTCTGACTCTCGTTCATCGCCTCCTGGAACGTTGGATCGACCTGGGGATGCATCTCTGCTCCAGCGCGTGCAAACCTGTCCGCCACAGCGTTCGCGTCGGTGCGCCTGCGAATCCCAGGGGTAAGCTGCGCGTACTCTTCGCCCGAACGATGAGCCTTCACGCGCGCCGCTCTCTCGATGTACTTGTACCCGTCCATGTCCTGAGCGAAGGCCACGGCCCCGCCGCGGGTGGAATTGACTGCAACCTGCTTCTCCGCTGGCGCCATCGCTGCCTTGACTGTGCCCATGAAACCCGCATGAACCCAACAGCGACGATCAGCAACTTGGCCAGTGAATGCAAGCGCAAGGTACTCCGCCATAGCAGACGTCTGTGGCAACGTAGCGGGGACAGGCGCGCACATTGAGCACAGTGACAGATCTGAATCAGGATCGAGCAACGCCACTGCCCAGCCAGCCCTCTGCAGCGTCGCCAAGGCCGGCTTGGAGCACGAGCCGTCGATCGCAAACTCGGCCAGCTCGACCTCCGCCTCCAGGTAATGTGCCACCATCGTTTCAGGGGTGGCGAGTGCATCCACAACACAAGCCTGCACTGCAGCATTCATCGGGGGGGTGTCCTGATCCCGAAACGTGAAGCAGCCACTCAGATGTTGCCGTTCATCGGGATGGTCGCGTATCCACTGGAGAAGCTCGGGTCCGACATCAGCCTCTTGTCGAGCTTCAGCAATATGTGGAAGAGGGCAGTCTGCTAGCCTGTGCGCAAGTGTGTCCATGGCCCCGCACTCACACTTCCCATCCGCGATGTAACCTTCAGATCTGGCTCGAGCCTTTGTCCAGGCACCTGCGACAACAGACGTGTTGATACATGCTTTCCGATGTACTTCCGACTCTTGGGCCTCACCTGCGTGCGAAGGAAATCTAAAGACACTCGCGTATTATCCTGAGCAAATCATTTCAGCCCAAGACGTAGTTCATGTTGGCGAACCAGGCCAGCTTCCAAAAGCTTCAGCAGCATCGGGGGAGTGAGTTGATCAATTCGAACCTGCTCACCGACATGGTTTGTCCACTCTGTCCCCGCGAGCGGATGCCAACCTGCACGCTGAATGGACAGGGCCGCTCGTTGAAGGGGGCCCTTCGTCATCGACCATTTGGGTAGCACTCCTGCATCCTGGACTGCCGCTTTCCACCAGCTGAGTAGAGTCGCCGTCGATGCAATTGAGACGTGGGGCTGGACCTTTGACGTCCACAGCATACGGCACCATTGAAGAGCAGGGGGGAAAGTACCAGCTTTGCACTAGCAGACACGCCTCCGTGGTACGGCTTCTGGTACTTGTGGTAGCTCTTACGGGGCCTGTCCAGCTCGCCGTCATTGATGCCGGTCACCTCGATCCCGTGCGCGAGCGCAGGGCGCGCCCCTGCGCGGTGCACTCGCCCGACTCTGGCCGTTGCTTGAGCCGGTATAGCACGACGGAACTTCTGGAGCTTGCGAAGCCGCTGCGAGTGATGCTTGAGTCTCTGCCTGTACTTGCCTCTGGTCTTGGGAGCTCCTCGCGCCCTTCCTCCAATGAAATCCGTGCCGAGATGCGGCGTGGTCCTCGTGCCAGCCTTGCCATCGACCCCTAGTCTGTGCACAATCTCTTTGGTGATGTCCTGAGAGCTCCCTACGACCGCGAACTTATCGTTCAGCTTGGCCCCAAGTCTTTGAGCCGTAGCCTGGAAACCTTCGGCAGTAGCAACCGCTAATTCGATGACCATCTTCTGGGAGCCGCTCTCCAGGCCGAGGGAGGTGTCGTCGATGTAGGACGAAAACCGCACAAGGGGAAACAAGAATACATACATGTCATACCCTTCAGCCGCATGCGCCTTGATAGCTATGTCCGCATAGCCATCCCCAGCAGGAAGGCCGCCCACTGCATGACAAGGTCGTCCTCCGTGGTGTGTGCGAAGACGGATGATGCGCGGCCTTTTCCATTGGTTGTTGACCAGCTTGAGCTGCGCGGTCGAGGCCCCGAGCCTGATGAGCTTGTCTCTCACGCTGTCCAGGGGTATCGTCTCATAGTACTTGCTGTAGTCGGCGATCACCGTGGCAGCGTGACGGCCCTGCATCCCGCTGGCCTCCGTCTTGGCCGCGAGGAGCCACGCGCTATCGATAGCGCTCCTGCCTGAAGAAGCCCCCCAGTACTTCCTTTCGATGTTCTTCTGCAGGTCACTGAGTGCTGGCCGACGTGCGCGCTGCCATACTCGATAGCTGGCCGAGTGCAAAATGATGAGCCTGTGCCCTCCCATGCTCTTTGGCAGCATGGGCATGACCATCCAGGTGAGCTGCCGAGGTAACAGCCCGATCCGTTCACTGGCCTCCCACAGGCAACCAAGGACACCTAGTGCAGCATCGCTGAGATGCTGAACGTGAGAAGGATGAAATCCGCCCAGGCTACCCGAAGTCCTCGCGGTAAAGGAACGCGATGCCCGACGGATCTGGAACGGGGTAGCCCGAACCAGAGCTGAACGGTCAGGCACCCATGCCTCAGGCGCTGTAGTGGACGCCTTCCATAACTTCGCGTACTTGTCCTCCATGTCCTCGACGATGCGCTGGGGGTGCGCTGAGAACACGCTGCGCCTGTCGGCGACGACCGTGGGAGCCTGCACGTGCTTGTAAGCCGTGACTCGGTGTAGCCTGCCTGATCCGTTCTGGCTGGCACCGTCGCACCGCGCCTTCCAACTAGCAGCGCTATCACGATCAGCGGCCTGCTTTGCAAGGTGTACGTCCTCCTCAGCTTCTTCCAGCAGCCAGATGATGTCCGAAGCCGAGGTTGCCGCCGACGATAACAGTCGTCGGGTTTGCACCACCGTAGCGTCTAGGCGATGATCAGCACCTTGACCAGGGTATTGCGTAGTATTGAAACCGTGGACCTCGTCGCTCGCCTTCTCCTTGTCACCGGCAACGTTGGAGGCCTTCAGCATCGCAATGCCCTGCAGTCCGTCTTGAAGCCATTTCCAGCCATCAGCAATACTCTGAATGCCTTCGGCACCTTTAGCTTCATAAGTGTGTTCCACCCACTTCGGACGGACGGTCTTGGCGTAGCTACTGGCCTGCTTGGCATCGGCACCAGTGAGGTGACACTGACGCTCCCCCATCTGAGTAGCAAATTTGGCCCAGGCCTGCCGGAGAAAATGCCCTGCCGCATCAACTTCTCCATTCGAAGAAATGCCCACAGCTGCCGCTGCATACCCTCGCCCAGCATCCCATTCAGGCTCAGGAAGCATAGGCCCTTGAACGATGGCCGCGTCGAGCTTCGGGCCGCCCGCGTACGTCAGGTACTGCAGCTTGTGCCCGATTGTGGCCATCTCCACTAGGGCAGGCCGATGAGGTTTTATCTGCCATTTCCGATCCACACGAATCTCCTTGAGGAGCCGCACTGCCGCTGACGTCATCGCGAAAAAATCGGTGGTGCTGGCCCTCGCAGTGCGGCATGTTATATCTGATGGCTGGACAGTCACAACATTCGCATGCTTCGTGAATGTGGACTCTTCAACCTCAAGCGCGGACATGTTCCAATCGCCTCCAATGTTACAAGGGGATAGCTGCCCCGCCATGGCCAAGCCTATATTCATCAGAATCTTGGCATTCCTCTCTGGCATACCTTTCGCAGTATACAAACGCACATTGAAAAGGTACGATGACGGCCACCCAGGAACGTCAATCACTACATACTGAGCTCGATGGGGAACCAGCTCGGACCCAAAAGCAATGCTGCTCTGGGCCTGGCTCTGCCCCACCTTCAGGTGGCCCTCGGGATAGACAGGTCCGCGCAGACCAACGCCGATCCGTGCGAAAGACAACTCCAGCAGTGGCCAGTTTCCCCCCCGCTCTTTTCCCCAGGAACGATGATAGCTTGCCAGCCATTCCCTTGTGACCAAGTACCCAACGCTTCGCACCCCCAATCGAGATAACCAATCTCCTGAGCCATGACGATGAGAGAATATGTGGCCTGCAGTCGCCAGTCGCTTCTCTAACGTCGACTTGCCCGCACTGGCGTTGAGAACTCTATGACATGCGACCCCGCAGCTTCAGCTGGAGGAGAGGGGGCCACGGTCTGGGACTGAGATATCCGCAGCCCTGATACTCGGGCCACTCTGGTAGTACTACCCACCCAGTCCCCCAGTCGTGGCTGCACTACCACCTGCGAGTTTCCTGTGTTTGGTATTCTGGACGTTCTGCACCATCTCCATGAGCCGGTCTTTGGTAGCGGAGATCTCGCCAGACTCGGCATTGTGCATGTTGGCCCATAGCGACTCAATCTCCGTTTTTTCGAACAGGAAATCTGTGGGCCGCTTGCTTCGGTCAGGGGGGTCTGCGCTACAGAGTCCACCAATTGCGCCTTGGCGGCTCCCGCTGGCGTTGCCGCCGCCGTCAGGAAAGACACCATCAGCAGAAGAAACAGCATCAGCTTGCTCGAACTTGGTCCGCGCTTTCTTCCGCAGCATGGACTGCACCTTCGCCCAGTGAGGGTTTGCCACGAGCTGGTCAACGAACCCGCGCATGGCAACTGCATCGGCATCCTCACCCTGGAACTCGGCGTCCTCAGCGTCGAAAGCGAATAGGTCCTCGGGCAGCTGGGGCGCGAAGACTTCCTTGGCACCAGGCAACTCCGACGCATGCTGGGCCAACTGCTGCTCGAGCGCCACAGTCTCAGCCTCCTTGGCCTCAACCGCAGCCTTCTTGGCGTTGATGTCGCTCTGCATCTGCAAGAGCTTTTTCTCCATATCCTCAATATCCTTCTTGCCCTTGGTGATCTGGCCGCGCACGCGCTCCAGCTTCTGCAGCGCCTGCTTGTGAGCTGTCCCAGGCGACTTGAGCTGCTTGACCTGCTCGCGGAGCTTCTCCAACTCCGCCTTGGCGAGCTTGGCCATCTCGCCTTCCTCCTGGCCGAAAGAGCTGAGGTCCTTGAGCATGCGCTCGTGGATGTTGATCTTCTCCTGGAAAGCAGTGCACTTGGTAAAGTTATCGTCCTTCGAGGGCTCAGCAGCACCGACGATGTCCATGTCGTAATCTGCAGGAGACTGAGAGACGTTGGCCTCGCGGGCGGCAGCCAGCAGCGCCCTCGTCTCCTTGAGCTCTTGCTCCCATCTTCTTGAGATCCTTGTTCCACGGTGCCACCTTGGGATTCTGCAGTCCAGCTCCTCCAGCACGCTGTGCTGGCGACTTGGCTGCCGCAGCTGCCTCCTTGTCCGCCTTCCGCGCCTTGACCTGCACGTGCTGCGGCGCATGCTTGCCACACTGGCAGACGATCCTCGACGCCCAGTTCGTGCTGCACCCGCACGATGGGCAACCCCAGTGCGGCTTCTTCGGGCCGCGGAGGATCCTAGGCTGCGGTGAAGGGGGCGGCGCCATCCTGCCAGGTGACGATCCGTGGTGTCCTCGTAACCGTCGGGCGGCGCCGTCCAGCTGCGCGAGCAAACGGGGCGAGCTGCGCCCCGCCCAGGCGTGCAGGAGGGCGCGATCCGCCGCACGGCGAAGTCGCGCTCGATGATGGGCGGCGTCCTCACGGGGAGACGCCGTGGCCGAGCGCTGGTCTCGGCGCGCGCGGGGGGGGCCCCTTGCCTGCGCTGGCAGGCTCCCATAGGGGCTGCACCTCGCGAGCCGAAACTAGAAAGAGGAAGAGGAGGAGGAGGAGGAAAAGGAAAAGGAGGAGGGGGAGAGGGGGCTCCCCGCCCGCTCCGGCGCGGCCTGCGCCTCGGGCTCGAGCGCCGGCAGCACCCGCAGCAGCGCCCGCGCCTGCGGCGGGGGGCGCCCCGAGATGGGGGGCGCCCGTCGGGTAGTCGGGCGGTCCCAGGCGCCCGTCGAGGGGCTCGAAGACCCCGTCGCCGCCTCCCCCACCCTTCCGAGGGGCTCTCCTCCGCACTTTTCCTCGCTCCTCCTGCTTGCTCCTCCTCCTGCCCCTCCTCCTCCCCCTCCTCCTCCTCCGTCTCCGAGAACGGGGGATCGTGGAGCCCCTCGGGGTCGAAGGCGCGCGCGCGCGAGGCTTTCCACTCGAAAACAAAAACAAAACGACGAGGGGCTCCACAATCCCCCGGCCTCGAGACTCCTCCCGCATCCCTCCTCATCATTCCACCTTCATCCAACCCCTCTTCCTAACCCCTCCTCCTCCTCCTTCTCCTCCTCCTCCTCCGCCTCCGCAAATGACTCAATCTGAATACTACTCTCCTCTCTCCCACGACGATGGTCGAGGAGTCGCGAGCCCCCCCTCCACGGACAGCTGTTTCACAACATGATTACATGATTTGGTATGTCCGATGGTTTTGTCAATCGGCAAGCGGCAAGTGTGGTTCAAAAGTTAGCTGCTGCTGCTGCTGCTGCTGCTGCAGCAGCGTTGTCCTCATTTCATCGTTCAGAGTGGACCTCTCGCCCAGGCGCGGGTCACGTTTCTGGATCCGAATGCTTCCTGACTGTTGTTGCGCTACTCATTTCCCCTCCCCCGCCTTCCCTTGGGCATCTTGCTCCTCCCGTTTCTCCAACTCCTGCCCCTGTTGCTGCTGCTTCTCCTCCTCCTCCTCCTCCTCCTCCTCCTTCCTCCTTCCTCTTCCTCCTTCCTCCTTCCTCCTTCCTCCTCCTCCTTCTCATCCGCTCACCTCCCCCTCCTCCTCCTCCTCCTCCTCCCCCTCCTCCTCCTCCTCGCCTCCAATGTACGCAATTCCTCTTTTGCAATCGCTCATGACACTGGGGCCCTTCTGAGGCTCCCAGTCCGCTATGACACCAGTCGTCGGATGTAGGACGAAATCGCGCAATGGGCAGGGATGGGTGGGAGGGGCAGGATGTCAGATATGGCGCGAGCGCGCCTAGCTCGTCCTCCCCCCCCCTCCTCTCCCCCTCCGCTCCCCTCCCCCCCCTTCCCCTCCCTACTCCTGGGCTCCTGGCCCAGGGGTGCGAGCATGCGAGCAGGCGGCCAGGAGGGTGAAGGCGAGCAGGAAGTACGAGCACACATCCGACGTCCGCGCGGGGGGGGGGGTCCTTACGCGCGAGGGCACGGCCGTTGGCGCGGTGGCTCGCGTGGAGAAGGGAGGCGCTTACGGGCCACCCGCTGCAGGCAACTTTCGGAGCGGATGTCCGCGCGGTCAACCACCCTTTCTGCGCAACTCCAGCGACCAGCGCGGACCCCAAATTTGCGACCCCTCTTCCGAACCAGATCGATCCTTGACTCTTCGCACGACGCCAGGAACACCAAGCACCACTGCAACACCCGTCCACCTGACGAAGCTCCGACCCCCACTTTCGAAAATGACGCCCCCACCTCCCAGACCACGTACGCCGTGATGTTTCACAGCATGGTCTCGGCCCATTCCCCGAGACTGGCGTTCCATCCCAAGTCGTCTGTTAACGGTCCCGGTGCCCTGTGGGGGCCCAGGAAGCCGAAACCTTGCAGAACCTACAGGGCGATTTTGGGCGGAAAAAAAATAATCAAAACATACTGCCCAAATGCTCAAAATAGTCAAGAAATCGTCCCCTGACTATTTGTTGACTATTTTTGTATATCCCCCCTGTAGAGAGGGACAGGCCCGACTTAAGCAAAACCCTCCCTTCGTGACGTCTTCTCGACGCGAGGCCCATGCCCGCATAGCTCCCCAAGCAGCGCCGCGCTCGGCCGCTGCGCGGCGACGGCGGCGGCCCCCCGAAGGGACCCCTGAGAGGCTCCCGAACACGCACGTGAACCTCGAGGGCCCCCAGAACCGTCCAAGGGGCCCAAAGACAAACAAATAAATATACACAGATAACGAGATTCCCCATGTTTTCGCTTATTTTCTGGGTTTTTGTCTTCCCCCCCGCTTGCAATATTTTCCCATATTTTCTGGGGAATCGGCGACTAATTGTGTCTGTGTGTTTTTTCCCTCCTGAACATCAGAACCCCAAGAGACCTCACCGCGCAGTCCGTCACCGCGCGGTTTTGGGACCCCGGAGGCGCCGGTCACCCGAGACGTCCTTGGAGAACGACCCTACTCCCGAAACAGTGCGGTCACCTCGAATCCCAACTGACTCACCAAGCGGTGTGGTCACCACACCGTTTGGGGGCCCCCGACGACACCCCGAGGGGTGGACACCGCCGGATGCGCCGCGGACAAACATGCCGCCAGCCCTTGGCCCCTGGTGAGGCGCCAACCTCTCGAGGCCGGGGCGCGCGGGGGAGAACCTCGAGGGAGGGGCAGGCGGAGGTTTCTCAGCTCGCGGGATGGCCCAGGTCCCGACGGCGACGCCGACGACGAACCTCGACGCACCTCGACGACAACGACGACTGCGACGACCACGAAGACGACCGCAGCCGCCACCATCACCCGACGACCAGCGCAGGCGGCAGGCCTCCCAGATGGGGTCCCAGCAGCTGGAACTGGAGGATCGGCGCTGCATCGTCCATGCACCGACGGTACATCGCCGACGTCTGCGATACATCGGCGACACCGGCGTGGAGCACATCGGGCCCCCCATCCGCACCGCCGATGCCTCGGCGATGCGGCGCGATCCTCCGACCCCACCCGGGAGACCCGGCATCGCCCAGCGACCGGCGCCGACGACGAAGGGGGCCCGGGGGCCTCGCTGAAGGCCGCCGACAGCCGCCGCGTGTCCAGCACGTGCCGGCACAGCCGCGCGGCGGAGGCCACGCTCGCCGCCGCCTCGGGCGACGCGGCGGCCTGGCGGGCGTCCGCGGCGGCGCTCGCCCGCGCGGCGCGGCGCGGGTCAAGAAGCATCGCCGCCGAGATGGCCAAGCATGGAACGCACGAGGGCATTCTGGTTGAGGGGCAACGATAGATGGACTGGCATAGGGGGGGATGCGTCGACCTGGAATCGGCGATACATCGTAGATAGATCGGCGATAGGCCTCCGATAGTGGATCCGCACCTTACTGGGCAGGTTGGGGCTATCTGGGCAGGTTGGGGCTATCGGGCCCCTATCGGCGATCAATGGGTGATTGCGGGTCAATGTATCCCCCCCTGTGCCTATCCCCCCCTATCGCTGTCTCTGACTGGTACCGCAGCCAGACCTCGAACGAAAAAACACTCTTCAGAAACACGAGCCCCTCCGCCAGTCAGACTGAAGCACATCCGAGAGAATGCCCTCCCCCAGCATGCGCAAGAACATCCAAAAGAACCACGCAGAACACCAGGGCATACCCTCCCCGAGCCGACCTCGATCTTGTGATTGCCTCGGTCCGACCGCATGTCCCTCCGCTGGAGACGCACGTCCGACCCGAACATACAGCACAATATTAGGTCGGGAATGTCCCCCGACAGGCGGATTTTGGGAGACAAATCTAAAATGAACCAAAATAAAAAAAGGAAAGAAACAAAACCAAAAAAACTACAGAATAAACGGTAGAAACATCGCCCCCAGACTATTTTTTGACTATTCTTCAATATTTCCCCCTGCAGAGGGACAGGCCCGACTTGCCACGAGACCCTGTGGTGCACACTTTCCCGGGCGGTGCGGCCAGAGGGCGCGGGCCACGGAGCTCGCGCCGCAGGACTTCCGAGAGAGAGCGCCCGTCGCCCTGGCGTGGCCGACGCGTCTTCGGGCGGTGCCGAGAGATGGCCCAGCGCCAAGACGGTCCCGAGACGCCTCCAAGACATCCAATGATGGGCCTGTTTTCCACCACCGCCGCCACCAGGAGCTGGAGGGGGGAGGGTGTCCTCCAACCCCCTCCTCATTCCTCCTCCTCCTCCGCCGCCTCCTCCTCCACCTCCTTCCTCCCTCCAACTTGTGGTGGTGGTGGTGGGAAGCAGGCCCATCATACAAGATTGCCCCAAACGAGCCCAGACTTGCCCCTAACATGCCTGCAAAACGACCACGGCCGCGGACGACCGTCTGGGTAATTAACTAGCAGTTGAGACCGGGCGGCGCGTCTGGGAAACGTGCGCAGGAACTGGTGGGCATGTTCAAGGTGATTGAGAAAGGAGAGGAGGATGAGGAGAATGAGTCGTCGGTGTCAAGTGAAGACGCGCGGCAGATGTGTCGTCTCACCGCTCGTCGGGCGCGCTCGCCGTTATCTTGGATGATCCCTCGCGTGGGGGCGGTGTACTGGTGCTCGAGC